TAAATCTACTAAGTAGTTTTTACTATCATATGGCCATACAGTTTCACATTTGTTTATGAACTATAAGTAACTCCGAGCTTATAATTACGATTATAAGAACAATAGTAATAAAAAAAGGCGATCAAATGCAATCATGGAAGTCTAATTTATATATATATTTACTTTGTCATGTTATTCGGTATTCTTCTGTTTTTACTTATGTATATTTATATTTATTTCTTGAGTGTATTGTATATATTTGTTCACCACTTGAGACCTTTTGATTCAAAATTACCTTGATAAAATAGATTCAGTTAGACAGCTTTGAGGCTTGAATTTATAGTGCGTAAATCTCATCAGAATTTAAATTTAAAAAAAAATTACTATATCTCAAATAAGTTACTTTCTAAAATATTTCGAAACTTTCAACTATGTTCGATTTAGGGTAAGGTGTCAGTCTAGGCACCCAGGTGTATCAAACACAGTTCCACAAGAAGATAAAAGTCGTACTGACGGCCATAACCTCTTAAAGAATTATTCAGTGATGCAGAGCTACATTTAGTTTAATTTATTTAACATTATGCAACTAGGAAAGCATTTATTACCCTCTACGATGTGCTAAATGTTAACAAGAGTTCATTATGTTTTCATTTTAGAACAGTGTTTTTACTACAATATGACGCTGCCAAATTAATTATACAAATTTCGATATTGCACATGCAAACAAATATTAACATAAGGAAAAAAAAGGTAAAATACATTTCAGGGAAACAATATAAAACAAAAGATTAAAATAAATTTGAGTTCACAATATTAACAGTAATTCTGCGAATGTATTTAAAGAGAAAACGTTACATAGATTTACTCATGATTAAATTATACTCAATTAGTTTTTCTCTTAAAAATCAACATTATCTTTAGCACATAAGATCTTTTCAAACAAAATTCATATCCTCATAGATTTCACTTTTTTTTTTAAAGAACATTACTTAGAATATGAATATTCATTATTTTTTTGCAGATTTTTAATTCATCTGAAATGCCTAAGTTAGGGATGTCATGCCTTTATTAAAATTATGAAGCCATTTATCTGAAAACAAAGAAATATCTTTTGGAAAATATTCTTGTTGAAAGGCGCTTAACTTTTTCTATTAGCATACATAGTTTTTCTTTTTGATATTATATATAATAAAAGATCTAACAGCATAACCTTTCATTATAATCTTTTACAGACAATTAATAATACCAGGTAATAGAGGTGCTTTCTTATGAGCAGCATTTCCACCAAAAAGCTGCAAATGTATTAACGCGGCAAATGCAAATCACCAAACATTGGCGTGTACCAAGATCAGTAAAATACTTCTTACATCTCATATTTTAGAAACCTTGGTATGCACGTCCCCTCTGCCCAGACGGCTTTCCATTTTTCACCAGTATTACTGCAGATTATGATCTCTCCTATAGGAAATTCAATGTTTTAGCATAATGGTAGGCTACATATTGCAGTTCGTATCATAGCCAGCGAGATCTCGTACTTAACTTTCTGCACACACACAGGATTAAGTGCTCCTTTTTTTCCCCTTTTTCTCATTTTATGATTTTGGTGCTGACCAATTGTGTTTTGAGCTATTTTTTGATTGTTTTCCTTTTTAGTGAAAACAAACAGCTCTGTGCATTGGTAAAAAAAAAAAAAGTGTGCACGTCTTGTATGCAAAAAGAATGTAAAAAACATAGGCAGCACTGGATGCATCATTGAAATAGATGTAAAGTTACTTAACCAAACATTTCTCTCCAAAGTCACCAACGACTTTTTGGTGAGGTATAGATAATTAGAAAGTGCCAAATAAGGATTTTTTTTAAAAAGCAAAGGATACATATCATGAAGTTTTAAACAAAGGCCTAACTGAAAATGGGGGTGGGGACTGAGCAACCCTCAAATTTACCAAACAATACACTATCACCTTCTGGCAAGAATTCCGATGAGGATGCCTGATTATCAATCGTGTCAAATTACTGGTTGCTGAATTATCAGACATACTGTATAATATGTAAAGGAGGGGGAACCTCCTTTCACACTTTACTTTTATTGCAGAAAGTCAGGCATCAAAATACTCTTAACAGCCACTGTATATAGAAATTTTAGACATTTATAAAATATTTTGGCTAATTTAATCAAATATCTGCTTATTTATTTTAATTAGTAGAAATAATTAAACCAAAAGTATACTTTTGTTACATCTGGAAGATATTTCTTAAACTTGATAGTATCAGCTTATTTACAAATTTGATTAAGAATTTTCTAGCTTAAGCCCTAGAAATTTAACTTAATAGATTAAAGTGGACAGCTATTTTTATGTTGATAAAAAAGGTAAGAAGCCCAACTTTTTAACACAAATTAAGCAAAATAAAATATAACATTCCTGACTGTAAACTGAATATTCCATAAACTGAAAAAAGTTTGAAATACGGAATCAAAATTAGCAGAATGAAAATTCAAAGTACTATAGTGAATCTACGAGTATTAATCCTGAGAAATGAATTAAAAATTTACACAGCCCATTACATAAAATAAAATTAATATCCACGTATAGCTTACATAACATTTTAAATCAATGTCACCAGATAATGGCTTTAATTATTTATAAAATTAAATTACTCATCATTTATACACCTAATTTCTGTTTTCATGCGAATTAAAGATAAACATTTAGTTCGCATATTATGTGTTATCATTTTGATTATACACACGTTGACCAAAAACACTTACAGGGATTTTTTTGCCTAAATTCTAGGAAAAAAATTGTATTTATGGCACAGCAATACATATAGGTATTCTTTCTGTCAAACATGACATTAATAAGCAACATGCTAGGATTAATGTGAACAGAAATTGTTGACAAACTCTTATTGAGAAATAGATAAAGGCCTCACTTGAGCAAAAATACAATTAATAATATTCTTTGTAATGTTATGCTGATTTTGCTCATATCACAGAAAGAATTTCATTAATAGAGGAAGAAGAGGTAAGTTGTTCCGAAAAAACTCCGAGTTAAAATTCTCGAAGAGTTACATCAAGGACATTTAGGAATCGTTAAAATGAAGGCAATCGCCAGATCCTACGTCTTTTGGAAGGGAATTGATCATGATATTGAAGAAGTTTCTAGGAACTGTGTCGACTGTATTAAGTTCAAATCAGATCCAGTAAGGGCAAGGGTCCATCACTGGGAATATCCAAGTGCGCCTTGGACACGCATTCACGTAGATTTTGCAGGCCCTATTTTGAACGAATGTTCTTGATTATCGTTGACGCACATTCTAAATGGTTAAAGTGTATACCTTAAGTCAGCAAATTCCTTTCAGACACTGAACGTTTGGAGAGCTGTTTTGCAAGATATGGATGCCTTTAGCAGTAGTGAGTGACAATGGTCCTCAGTTCACATCGGGGGAATTTGAAACTTTTATAGGAATAATGGAATTAAACACAAAACGGTGCTCCATTTAAACCGGCAAGTAATGGGCAAGCAGAGTGGTACGTTTACACCGTTAAACAAGCATTAATGCAATGCAAGGTTATCCAGGAAATATTAAGCAAAAACTTGCCATATTCCTCATGAATTATAGAAAGGCACGAACACCAACCTTGTTAGTCCACAATGTTATTCTTAAAAAGAGAAATTAGAACTCGAATTGATTTAGTTGTTCCAAATCTTAAACGAAGAGTGGAAGAACGCATCCGAGAAATACTTATGATTTCAAAGCAGAAATTTTGAAATCGGAGAAAGGGTTGCCATTCGGGATTACAGATCGGCAAATTCCCGATAGAAAATTGGCAGAGTGACAAACAAGGATGGAGTGCTGCATTATACTATTGACGTTCAAGGAACTTTACTGCGCCGGCACCTCGATCAGATCAGATCGGTAGGGAGCGAGGTTCCATCTGCACTAGTAATCTATGAACCTCATATGGCTGCTACTTCAGATGGAAACGTGAAGCCACAGGCTCCGGACAAGGTCATTGAACAAAGAAGTGAAGCTGTGCAAACTTCAGCCGGACTTGAAACATCGTCAGTTCCAAGGAAAACTGATCCAGTCCTTCCAGTGGATCTTGATAAAGAGTTGCAGCAACCTCAGCCAGGACTTAGACGATCTTCGCGCATCCACAAAGCTCCTCAAAGATTAAATCTCTAAGTAAGTGGGGAGGGATGTAGCATCTGATTTCGAGAGTATCATTACTTTTATACCCGAGAACCTCTGTGAACGAAAGTAGAGTAGAATGTAATGTAACTGTGTAAATAGCGCATCGCGGCTGTCTTATTAGTTAGTTAGAAATAAATGTTTGTGGCGTGAACTAGTCTGTTTTGGGTTGCGTCATGCAATTCACTGAACCCACACCGCTAGACACAACAAAGACACTATCTCCAATAATGCAAGTGATAGCAATGATCTTTTAGTCGTATTACTGTCAGAAACTGAAAAGCAATAAAATCTTGTTATGGGTGAAACAGAATCCCCTCCCCATGCAGAACTTCTTTTTAATTTCAAATGCAAATTTATTTTGTGTGTATTTTGCTGAAATAGAATAAAAATATTCAGATGGTTTATTTAAAATTACTTTTGCTTATTTTTTATGTTCAGAACCAGCTTATTTTTTATCTTTAGAACCAATCTTCTTTTCTTCTATAGATACAATGACTTTCTTTAAACTATTTTTATAAACTTTTTTAAGGAACATATCTGTATAAATACAGCTGCAGATTCTAATTAATAATTACAATATGCATTTTTTTCTAATGTTAATAAATCAGAAGCATATTTCTATTTGTATGTTTTATTATAAATTACTCTAATACATTTTATTTCAAATCCAACTTACACCTTTGTATTAAAATAAATATTTCTATGTTACAACATACAAATCAAAACAATTTTAATAAATTTTCTGAACATATAATTAGAGTTTTTTTAATGTAATTAATAAATCAAATGAAATACTAAAAAATGCTAAACATTCAAATTCTTTGTATAATTTCTTTTTTTTTCTATATCAACAAAGTCTGATATTACTTTCAATGTCCAGGGTGTGGGGGGGGAGAGTTAAAAATACATTCCCAAACTTATTTGTAATTATAATTTTAGTTATCGTACACTAAATACTAATGTTGCACAGGTATTTTTTTTGCTGTTGTTTCTTTATCATTATTATTTGAAGGGGAAGAAGAGAATAAAAACTGCAATAATGGTTATAAATAATACATTTGAACCTATATATTTGAAGAGAATCTTAAAAAATTTTAAATATTTCATATTTTAGTTTTCAAATAAATGCTTATATTTGCTTCTATTCTTCTTGAAAATATATACTAAAATAGTACCTTAAAATACATGCTGAATTGAAAAATCATTCTAACATAAACAAGCATAACTAACAAACTAAAAATCTGAAAACCAAAAGACCTGCGAGAAAATAGGTGAAATGAGGAGGTCTTCAAGCTGTGCAGTGATGCCATTTCATAGGAGTTTCAAAATGATATAAATTCACTTTATAGTACAAGATTCAGTTTACTGAACTATTTGTAATACAATCCTGATGTAAAATTATTACTACTTAACTAGATATTCTAAATTTTATTTTGCAATTTTCTTACACTTTTATATTGAGAAAATACCAAATAGGGTAAGAAAGTTCTTATTTTTCATACTACTTTTAAATACAATGGAAATAAAAATAATAATTAGTGCACATAACATTTGTATGGATAAACTTGGGTAATGCATCATGTATTGTAGTAAATAAAATTAATTAACTTAATGACTAACACTAGTTGAATCTTCAAATACAAATCTACAAATGTCTGCAGTAGATTAAAACAAACCAGATCAAATGAAATTTAATAATAATAAAGATCATTAAAATGCAACGAGAACAAAGTACAATTGAGATGAAATAAAATTTAACACGAAAAATTATTCTGAAAATCACTATGGACGGGGACGGGGGAATTTGCCCAATTTAAGTTTAATTAAGTCAATAAACTTAATTTACTGCAAAGAAACACTCTCGTTATCAAAGGGTAAAAATTAAAAACAGGATTTTTGGTGATCTACCAGGATATGCGACGAAAAACCGGGAGTCTCTTGATAAAATCAGGAGTAAGACAGTCGACAGCTATGAACAAGCATTCAGCAAGTTGTCCAATTGTCAGATAACAACCTGCATCCATACCATAAAATAATTTTATGATCAACAAATATGAATATCAGGTATTTTCAAATAGGCCAACAGGTTATATATAACAGTAAGCTAAAATTCCACCATCAATTTCTTAAAAAGAAAGAAAAAGATACAAAGAAATTTATTTTTCTGTTGTTTCTATATCTTGCTATAATTTCACAAAGCTAGTTTAATTAATGTACTTTCTGAATTTAACCACTTTAAGCTGCATCAGACAAAAAGCTGATTTATCATTTAATAAAGAGTAATACATTACATCAATTTTTGTAAAATAATTTTGTTTAAAAATATCTCTATTTCATATAACAATAAACAGCTTTTCTAGCAAGCTATTAACTTATAAAGAAACAAAATAACACTTAACTTACAATAGTTCTGACAAAACCAAACTAGTGCAAAACTTTATTACACACTGTTAGTTTACTGTGAAACCTCTGTAATGGCAATCTATAACTCTTGTGAAATTCATGATGTTCAGTTTTGTCATGCACTGGCACATTATAAGCATTACTTGATGATTTTTAACTCAAATGGAATTGTCAATGTACACAAAATAATTTACAGTTATGTAACCTGGCACGTTATAAGCATTACTTGATGATTTTTAACTCAAACAGAATTATTAATATACAATATTAATTTACAGTTATGTAACATCTGGTTAGATTGTTTCCTACTCTAAAGTTTTTTTTTTTTTTTTCTATTTATAATTTCAATATTTTATTTTGCTTTTTAAACAGACTTTTACAGTGTACAAGCTATAGGCATGTATGCCTATGCACTGTATGCCTTTTGCACTGCACGATATACCTAAGGAAAATCTTAAAAAAATTAAATATTATCTAAACCAAAAGAATGAATGACTGGACAATGTTCTATATGAAAAGTTTTACCATATTTGTACTGGTGTTACATAATAGCAGATTACATTTATAGAAATAAGAAAAAGTACATTTATTAAATTTATTTTACATTAAATATCAATGTTTATTAACATTTCTATCTTAAAACTATACTTCACTTTTGTGTATTAGAAACAGCAAAATATGTTTAACTTATAACTAATCATATAAGTGCAAATATTTAAAATAATATATAAACAATTGACCAAATATATTTACAAACTTTCATTTACAGTATGGACATTTATTTAGACATACATTTATTTATACACACATTTATTATGACACATAAACAGAACATAACAGATGATGCAATCCATAACAATTATTCATTACAATAATTTTCTATTACTTCAACTGAAATTCATTTACAACACAGCAAATAAAATCTGATTATTTGTGATTGCTTTGCAGTCTTTAAAAAATTTTCTTAATGTTCCATTCATTTAGTTAGATAATAATTAGCCGAAAACTAACTACCCCCCTAAAAAAATCAGTTTATCAAATAACACACTTTCTTGCCCCAATGCAGCAATTTATATAAATGGTAATAAAGTTTTGATGGTAAATTTATTCTAGTTAATAATACCATTGATAATTAAGGTACAATAACATGCAGAACAAGTATTAATTTAGAAATCAAACAACAAAAATCAGTGTTATATTTTCAAATTTTCACAGGACTAGTTTCAATGGTTTTACCAAACCACCATCCTCAGCTGGAAAGCACAAATGGAATTGCACTTTTGCAACTGAGGATGATGGTTTGGTAAAAACCATCAAAACTAGTCCTGTGAAAATTTGAAAATATAATGCTGATTTTTGTTGTTTGGCTTAAAACAATAAACAATTGGTATAAATTAATACCACTGATACTTAATTTATTAAATAATAGTAGTATTTACTACACAAATTCTTAACTAAACTATAATGCATTTCTTTCTTTTCTTTCCCTCTCTCTTTTTTTTCTTTTGTATGTGTGCGTGGCTTTTGGAATAAATGCGCTACTGATTGAGTACCCCTAATACATCTTTAAACTCAACAATTTATTAAGAGATTTACAACTTTAATTGACAATAATAATAATAATCTGTATTTCTCCAAACCTATTTTGCTAAGAATTAAAAAATTATTTCAAGTTAAAATTTGCCATCCTAAGAATGACATTAAAAACTATCAATTTTAAGTGTTACTTAGATAATAATTTTTATAACTAGCAAATAAACTTACACATTTTTGTCATTCAGTGATTTCGGTTACTAGAATACAAATTCTAAATTAAATACATCCAAAACTAAGAATAACATCAATCTAGGGAAGGAACCTAGATTGTTTCTACCAATAAAAAATTGGAGAGTTATAGTTTATCTGTTTATGAGAAATACTTTTTATTCTGAAGTATAGTTTAAAAGAATACTTTCCTCAAAGAGAGAATTAAAAGTATACCTCATAGAAAATTTTTTCTTCCCCCCCCTTTTTTTAATTATTTCTGCTATGCATGTTAAATGAAAGTTCACCCTATAATGCTTTTCAAAATAATTTTATACTTCACTTTGAAAATCTAGGTTGTAAATTATACAATGAATAATTATACAGGATTGCATGACTTAATTTTAACTAATTTTAGAACAAAATAAAAATATATATAAGGAATATTTTATTCTAAGAAGGTAGTAAATATTTAAAACAAAATCATTTAGATAAAAACAAGGTAATTTTTTAAAAAATTATTCAAATCATAAATACATAGTATATAGTTGCATGATTATGAAACAGTTTTTCCTGGACATTCCACAGGGAACATTCCAAGTTCAACATTCCACAGGGAAAAAAAAGTTTTATCATAATTTATGGAAACAGACATTGCAATAATGAATTATGCCAAAATTAACCTGCATTTATATACTTGATTCTATTACCGTTAATGCACTTTTTGATATAAATCCTAAATGATAATAAATATGTATATTTATACACAATGAGAATAATGTTATCCAAACTGTTTTTAAATCAGATGGAAAAATAGATAAATAAAAAATATTATAAATTTATATATTTTCATTTTTGATATAATAAAATATGCAAAATGATGTGATGATAACATATTCAGCAACTAACATGAATTCTGTCAGAATTGATGAGATAAAAACAAAAGCATATGCTGTTATCAGGTGCCTATGATTATCTGTAAAAAAATGATAAATATATTAAATGGAGATAATTACACTACATATAGTAAAATTTTATAAGTAAATATTTTAATAAACTAAATCACTATTTTCTCAAATGAAAGTCTTTTAAATTTCCCACAAAAAATTTCGACTTCATGAAATTCAAAACAACTGATTTACATAATGCAAGTGAAAGCAATCAACCTAATAGCAAAAATGCCTTTATGGAGAAAATATGGAGGGAAATTGGCTTATATTTGCATTACACATAGAAAAAAAAAAAAAAAAAAAAAAATCATGCAACCAGCCCAAAACATTGGGATCTGAAATGAGGCTGAATTAACAATGTTCAGTGGTGTTACCCACTCAGCCACTAGTGAATTCATATAAAAATTAGTAAAAAGCAGTGATAGTCAAAGGCATTCATTCAGTTTTCTTATTGAATTTAAAAAGATTTGAGAATTTAACTGTTAATGTAAAGATTTTGAAATATTTTACAATAAATGGATTTTTTAACAATCCATTCAAATGCAGTTTGGAATGTCAGCTGGAACTGAAATAAGAGCTGTGTAAAGTAATTCAACACTCAATAGGTATAAGAAAGTGAGTCTGATTTTGTTACCCACTTTGTCTTTCTATGCAAATAACATTGACTTCTTAGAAATTGGCTTTTATTTGGCAGTATTTACGTTTGTCAGATAAATCTATTCTTCTATAAAGATCTTAATATAATTGAAAGAGTTAAAGAGAGAAATGTTTTCATTACTAAGGGCTAGCAAATGAATTTTTTCTGTAGTCAAGTACATAAAATAAGATGCTGGAAATAACATTCATTATTTCAACCAATTATAAAATGTTTATAAAATTATCAGCCATAGTTATACTAAATAAGTAACATATTAAAATACAAATGAAGAAAAAATCAATACCAGTGTCTTTCCTGGAAAATGTAAAATATGAAGGGTTTTAGACTTTAAATTACGCCCAAAGGGGCTTTTTTTCCTTAACATTTTGTGCATTACCTTTATTTATTAAATATCATGTTTCTTTACACTTAAACCCTAAAATTCAGTTCAACAGCAATATTGCAAAATAATTTTAAAATGAGCATACCTTTAGAATTTCCGATACACAATCTTGTGCGCTGGAGATAAAAAAATTTTTTCCGTACAGTGTTGCCATTGCTTGCTTTTAAATTGCTGAGTTTGTTTATCAAAAATCATTAGTTTTACAAAATATGAAATAGATAATAAAACAAATTCCGAATTCTAAATTTGGGCTTCCAGATGCCCATACTCGGGTGGAAACATATGCTATTCAAAATTTGATGGCTCTAGGTACCATTGTTTTTATCACAATGCAAGAAGCATACATACACGTATGCAGATTCTTCATTATTTAATTTCTTTAAATATAATACAGGGTTCTAAAATTTGATGGCAACAATTTGAAAGTGAACCGACATTTCAATGCAAAATGCCAAAATAAAATTAATAGTCCTTCTGGGCAAATTGCGCCTTTGGACTAAAAATATTAAGAAGTACACAAGTGTACTCATAAATCATTAGTATACAAATAATTATTAAGGATTTTTTTCATCAAGATATAATAAAAGCAATTTGCAAATGCTGCAAATAGTAAGGAAAGATTTCTTATTAGCAACAACATTTCAACTTATTGTGCTGAGGAAAGGGGGGAAACATTTTTTTGGAGCTGTTACCAAGGGGGAAGTATGAAATAAAAATTTTACTACTATCCTCTTGTAAGCTTGAGTGAAATGCCTTTTTACATATGAAAATAGTAATCCACTTATAAGATATCAGAAACATACGGTGAATGAAGTGAAGCATCCAAGCTAAATTACTTCACCCTATAAAAAATTTTTTAATAAATAATGCCTCACATTGTCCTGCATCAAAGTAGCCCTTTTAAGCTGACTGCCATAGAATGTAATCTACTGTATGTTCTTTGCAATAAACTGTAACACATAGATGAAGTAATGATTTCTCCATGGTCTAACAGTTCATAATGAGCTACACAATTTCTGGTTCCCTTAAAAAAACATTAAGGGGTTTTTATTTAAAGACTCTGCTGCCATAATCATTGTTATGATCAATAAATGTCTGCAGAACATTCATTTTCCATCTCAAATGGTAAATCAAAAATGTATAGCTTTCATTTCATGCCATTACAGCAATGAAAAACAAATCACCAGGCTTTGTAGTCTGGGATTTGATAAACAGTGAAATATTCAATTATTTTCTACTCTCATTCATCTCACCCACTACACAGAGTTGATATGCATACACAATCAGTTCTTTTTGTCACTGAAAGACTGATCATAATTTCTTTGCATATTATATGAAGCTTAGCCTTATTTAGCCTTATCAAAAATTTCACCAATGGCAGTTCATTGTCCAGATTCTACTTGATAATTAAACATTTTATTTCCTATACTTTGCAAACTAAAATTATACTTTTACAGCATCATACAGAAGAAACAATGCTAATATGCTAATCTGAAACTCAAGTAAAGATTTGCCTAATTTTAAATTATGCTCTAATAATGGATCTTGGCCATATGCTTGAGACATCATTTTGAATTAAGAGGGGGAAAAATCGCTGATTGTGTACAAATTCTTTAATAATTCTTTTCTTCAGAATTTCAAAATGCTATATTTTATCTCAAACAGAAATGTTAGGAAGATAAAAGCTTTCAGTTTTTACAATCATATCATTCAAAGCTGTTTTTCACTTAGAGAACAAAGAAATTGGTTACTAATACAGCGGCAAAAATATGGTTGGAATTTTTAAATGCATATACATTCTCGTCTCTTACGCACTGTAGTTTTTTACCTAACAGACTAGAAACAGTTGATCTTTTAACACATGAAGTTAGATAATGCAAATATCCTGCACAATTCTAAATTTGGCAATAATTTTTTAACCTGCCCAAACTGAATAATTAATTGCCTGCTGTTAATTAAAGGCATTACTAATAATATAATCAGATAAAATGTATTTACAGTATTGCAAAGTATTCATCCATATCATAAATTTTGACAATCTTTTATAAGAAGTAGCTGCCAATATTTGTATCATCATCCTACATATAACAAAACATTGAAAATGCTATACATCTTTCTATGCTAGACAAAAATAATAATAATAAAAGTTGTTAGAAATTGAAAATACTAGAAAATTCTACAATATATTTTAACCTTTACTTAAAATGACCTAAATTTCCTCTGCTCTTTGACATCAATGGCAGCATAACTAAATATATGTCATATGTGAAATATTTGAGATTTGCAGCAGTGTATTAAAAACAATAAAAACTGGTTAAGAAGTATGGAAGATCTATTTTATTGGAAAAGCTAAATTTACTACAGAGACGCTTTGATCAGCTTTATAAAATATATTTTAAGCAGAATACCCAAAATACCTGAGTTTGCTTCAATATTAGCAATAGAAAATGACTTCAGAAGTACTTCAGTAGCAAAATATGTATCTTATATACATGGTGTCCCGTAAATGTTGCGACAAACTTCTGGGGCAGGTAGGGCACATCATAAGGATTAAGAATTGCATAGGAACCCATGCCTGGAAATGTCAGGGGTAAGTGGTAGCAGAGGCAGAAGATGGAAAAGGAAACAAGAGAGCAATTAATTTGAAACATTTATTCAACATGAATACAAATGGCGTCCGACAACTTGAATGTTATAATAGATGCTCAAAGTTTGCACCATCAGATGCCAATCATGTCTGACACTGAGGGACCATTGATTGCCGGACATGTTCAAACACAACGGGAGTTTGATTGCAGCAGCTGCACAGGTGAGTCTTGTCACAAGGTCCATTTCAAATACAATAGCATGGTGATACATGGCTCTCATAAGAAATCAAGGCTGCATAAATGTGGTGAGTGTGGGGACCAGAGAACCAGTCTACCACATCCAATCTATCGATGCATTAATGATCTGTTCAAACAGCTACGAACATCCAGTTCAGAATGAGCAGGCGCCCCATCATGTTGGAACCACATGTATGGAACATTGTCAAGCACGGCAGGAAGAACCTGCTCCAGAAAGATCAGATAATTTATGGCATCCAACCTGAATGGTAAAAGGTACAGCCCAACTAAGCAGTTGCCAACCAAAGCCACCCACACATTAACTTTGAAACATTATTGTGCCGCACACCATGGGGGTTTTCTTGAGCCCACAAATGCTGATTGTGATAATTGAATACCTATTGAATGTGGCCTCATCCGTGAATAACACATTAAGCAGGGAAATTAACATCACGGACACTTCCTTGCAGAAACCACTGTGTGAAATGCCCACATTCAGGATGGTCACTGGGGAGCAGTAACTGAACGCTTTGGAGACAAAAGGCACAGAAGGGCTCAGCGTTCAAGACACGCTGGACACTGGTACGAGATATTCTTAATTAAGAGGCAATGGCACATATGCTGGTCTTTGGATTACTCTTCACCGTATCCAGCACACTTTTTTCCCTAACGACCGAGCGAGTCGATCATGGCCTGCCACTTCTTAATGACCTGTAGTCGCACAAATTTTGATGAAGACTGCAAATAACTGTGTGTGGTTGATGTGTCGGAGACATTCTCAATAAATGCATGCAGTGGCTCGTCCATTACCCTCAGCTATTCCATACACTAAGCGCATGTCCGTAAGCTGTCTGTTCATATAGCCTTTCATGCTCTTCCTATGGTGCCTAACACTCGAATGAAGCAATCCTTACTTTCCACTAGCATTTTCCTGTACAGCAACTCCTGGTGCAATAATACAGTGACGTTTCTGCGCATAGGTTCCTATGTAATTCTTAATCCTTATGATGTGCCCTACCTCCCCAAAAGTTTGGCGCAACATTTACGGGATACCCTGCATATATATATTTCATGGAGCTACAGCTCCTGGTAACTTTTTAGCAAGCTCACTACAATATTTCTTCCTATTATTTCATATTTTTGCAGCATTTTGCACAAAAAATTTTTAAGACCAAATACGTCTTACATCTCATTACTTGTTAGCTTTTCAATTTCAATTATATATATATATATGTGTGTGTGTGTGTTCCAAATTTGTTTTAATATACTTAAAAAGAAAATATTATTGTGACTTAGAATATTCTGAATTTAACATGTGTCTCTTACTGACATAAAGTTTTCCTTGTGACGTATATGGATTTTTTCAGTAACTATATGTTGGAAAATATTCAGAGATTACAGCAGCTTATATATCTATATATATGAAATATTTTCCAACATATATATATATGTAGCTAACATAATTTGTTTGTTAATTTTTTTCAAGCTGCTGTAAATCTCTGAAATATTTTCCAACATATAGTTACTGAAAAATATCCATATACGCCACAATGGACAAACTTTATGTCAGTAAGAGACACATGTTAAAATTCAGACATATTCTAAAGTCACAAATATATATTTATTCTTTTTAAGTATATTAAAACAAATTTGGAACACAGGAAGAAAAAAAAAATAATCCCCCCCAGTAATCAGACAAGGATTTCATACTTAACTGATGTGGCTATTTATTATTTTTTTTTAAACATATAAATTTTAAACTAACAAATGATGCAAAAAACACTCATTTCAAAAAGAATACCCAGTCCCCCCCTCCCTCCAGTTTTTCCCAGTTGTTTTCAACTCTTGTTTAAAAAATTTTGTTTACAGTCATCAATTGATTTTAATAGCAATAAAGTCAGAAATGAAAAAGACGACATCATTTTGAGCTGAATAAAGAATAACGTAGTGAAAAAACAGAATTAGTTACGTTACGTTACCCTTAGAGTATATACAATCCACATGAAAGAATAAAGCCAGTGATATATAACAATAAGTGCTGCAGATAAATTGAGGTTCAAGATATGAAAAATATTACAAATATTCAATAAGAAATAATAAATCAGTTTTCCCCCCACACAACTAATATGAGGACCAATGTATGAAGATAAAACTTAGTAAATTATTTAATTAAAACATAAAACAATAACTGGAACATCATCTTTTGCCTTTTTTCAAAGTAAATTACAATTAAAAACATTTGAAGTACTGTTTACTGAAATTTTATATATAACAAAAACAATCAAAAAAAGATTTGCTTTTTGTTTATTAATTTGATGGTTAATGCTAAACTAGCAGTTTGAAATTATTTAAAATTATTACACATATGATGAAATTACAAAAATTCCACAATAAATCATTCAGAAAAGCATGCAACAGCATTCATTTTGTTTTACATCATAATCAAAATTTCAAAAATAAAATTTCCATTTGTTACAATGTTGCCTTTGGAGCACTTAAGAGAAACAGATGGCTTATGAATGCATTTGGCCAAGCCCAATATATACACAGAACTGTCACCTGTATTTAAGTTTCCTGTTTAACTCAGGTATAGAATTTAAGCTAGATGTAAATTGAAGTCATTTAAGCTAGATGTTAATCAAGATCACTCTACACTTTAAGAATTTTTTAATATTATTTAGGTATTATGCATATTTTTGGGAGCAGGAGGGTAAAAGGAAATAAAACTGATTTCTAAGGAAGCAAAAGCAATTTTGTTTACTATTTATTCTTATGAATTCTATTTATTCTAAAGTACTTTCACTTGACAAATGCAGCTTAGCAATGTATGAGATCTTTTTATGACATTTTCATCACACTGCATTTCACAGTCCAATAAAAACTTATATCTGCACTTGACACATGAAATTTCATAAATGCATATTTCTAGCATTTTGACCTTTAAACTCTGTCATCTATTAGATCAATAAATTGAAAATATTCTGAGTTTTTTCTACTGGGAGTCAAAGCAGTTGCCAAAGACAGTGCACAAGGTAATAAAATTTAGGAGCTGCAAAGACTACAAAAATGCAGGCAGTGAGAATTTTAAATTTTTTTATGCTAATTAGTATCATGAATAAAACATGTTTCAAACAATATATTATGTATCTTTCTCTCAAAATTTTCACTATTTTTCAATGCTTGGCTACACTTACGAAATGAATGTGGCTTTTATTAGTCATAAATAATATATAGACCATTTTCACATATTTAGGAATTATAATTTAAGATGAAGAGCATTAAATTAGCATACAGTATGTAAGATAACAGGTGGAAAAAAATTACAAAAGTTAATTTTAAATAACAAAAGTCTTTTTAATTCATTAAAAAATTTTTGCTACTAAAATAATTAATCTCATTTTTTTGTGTGCATCATTCTTAAAACAGCCTAATCTAAACGTTCTTAAAGCCTAGAACAACATATATATATATATATTAATCTATATATAAAGAAAAAATTTATAAAGAAACCAATTTTTCACAAAGACCTAAAAATTAAATTCAAATAAATAAGTTTTAAAAAATCCTATAAATGTAGATTTAGAATTATGTTTTTTTTTTTTTTTTTTTTTTTTTTTTTTATTTTATTATTATTATTATATTATTATTATTATTATTTATTTACATAAAATGTTTGTGCTTATGTATGTGTGTGTGTATATATATATATACCTTTTTAACACATTCTTTCATGTAGTTATGGCGATGAGTCAAATCATGATTTGAATACTGAGCAGAAACCTACAACAGAAGAAAAATATATTAATTTGAAATGCATAAAAAAATTTTTAAATCTTCAAAGTACAAAAGAAAATAGTCTAAGCCATACAATGACAAATTTGTACTTTTTTATATAAAAGGTGTGTAATACACTCACTTCCAAAAGTTAAGCAAGAAGATGTAAAATGCAAAAAAATCAACAAATACTGCTTTGATTGTCACAAAATTCGGCAGGAAAGTAGCATATATATTATATTTATGCATAAAACAAAATCAGTAATTATTTACAGAAATGAAAACAATATTAAATTTTTGTAAGTTATCAGATAATGACACACTGGATGGGGACTTAAACAGAATTATGTATGAAGTCAAAATAAACAGCATAAAATGAAAAAGAAGGACATTAATAGGGTATGTGATCCCCCCTCATCTGTATACAAGGTTTACACCGTGTAACCATGCTTTGAATTAGGTGGTCAACCACCGCAGAATTAAGGCAATCGCCATTCTTCTTGTAGAGCAGTTTCCAGCTCAATAAGAGTGGCTGGAGGTGGGAAACGTGAAGATACAGCACGGCCGAGAGCATCCCAAAGATTTTCAATGGGATTAAGGTCGGGCGAATATGCTGGCCACGCCATACGCGCAATCCCTTCACTCTCCAGGTAGTCATCGACGATGTCAGCTCTATGGGATGTGCGTTATCGTCCATTAAAACAAAAGTAGGGCCAACTGCTGCAGCGTACAATCTCACAATGGGTTCTAGGACTTCATCTCGATACCAGACAGCCGTCAAAGAACCCCGTTTAAAGATGTGCAGGTCGGTGCGGTATCCTAATGAAATCCCTGCCCACACCATAATGCTTCCGCCTCGGAGTGCGTGATGTTCGGTGATGTTTTGGGACCTGATTGTGTGTTTCGTTGTTTCACGCCATATTCCTTATACGCTTGTCATCTGGCTCCAGAGCAAATCTTGACTTCATCAGTAAACATGACATTGCCAATTGAGTTCGAGACACATTCCAATTGACATGTTCCGGCACCACTGTAATCGTGCCCCTTTTGATTGGACAGATAGAGGAACACAAACTCGAGGTACCCGGGCATACAGTCCCACTTATATGTAATCTTCGGCGTACAGTAGCTGCAGATATCTCCTTACCAATGGACGCCGTAACCATAAGATGTCGCACATGTGGAGGTCGTTCTGCGATTCCGCTTGGCTACAATAGCAATATATTCGATCTTCCGCGGGGGTTGTAACCCTTGGGCAACCGGCTATGGCCTTCGGACAACTGTTGTGTGGTTTGGGAACTGTTTCCATAAGCGTGAAATTACAGAATGATGAACGCCGAAGAAAAGAGCAACATCTGCGATCGACTGTCCTGCTTCAATGCGCTTCACAGCACGCCAGCGCTCAGAATCTTCCATTCGTCTTCTGGAAGACATAGAAACATGTATGTCTTGAAAACAAATTATACGAAAGTTTTAAACACTTTCTATCATCACTTACAATCAACTTCTGTAAGCCTTCATAAAGCTGGCTTCTTATAAGACTGCCTTTTTTGCATATTTTTTGACATGAAAGCACGATTGGCTGTTACCTAACGTATTCACATATTTTCATCTACCTCTGCAGCGAATTGCATCCTCTTCAATTCTGATTGGCTTCTGGAAATTAGCGTTTTCCTCTTTGTGTTTAACATTTGGAAATGAGTGTATATTAAATATGTGATATGTATCATGTCATCCTGAAGTAGCAGAAAAAGTGAAAACACGGTGCTTCACAATGCACTTTTTATGGAAATGCATTGGAAGATTTTTTTTTAAATAATTAAATATATTACTGACAGTGTAGTTAAAGTTTTCGCAAATGGTGTCTCTGTTAGGTAAGTGGTTCATACAATGGCTCTGCAGCACAATTCACGACACAGCTAGGCTTACAAATGTTTATTGTGATGGCTGTCATTCTTGAGAACAGCTGCCAGTCCTGACATGGGACTGAAAAGGGTTTAACTGTCATATCTGTTATGTGATGGCTAATAATTTCTTTCATGTCTCATAATATTGGCTAACTTCTGTACACCTGTGACCTTAAGTAGTCCCATAATCAAAAGTATGAAGGTAGGAGACTGTGATGACTATTTGTGAAAGAAAAAATGAATGAGGACATGGTTATCGTCAAATGTTGATCTCAACAGGTGCTGAGCAGGATCTTGCTGAAGCACTCCATTATACATGAAAATTACTCTATGGGACACTTGCATGTCTCACAAGGAGGGAGGATATTGTTTTTTAAACTATTACATAATGCTCAACTGTGGTAGAATAATTTGAAATATACTACTGGAGACTTTTTTAGATTACAAACTATCGATAGAACGTTTAGAACACTTTCATTATGCAGAACATTATGTAATCAATTTTTGTGCTATCAACATTTAATGATATCAGGTACTTTTTATGAGTACCTGATATCATTAAATGTTGATCAACATTTAATGATATCAGGTACTTTTTATGTCAGTATTCATTCGTCATTCTCTAAAGAGCTTTGTATTATTTTTAAAATCAAGCTCAGCAGTGGAAAGAGAAACAGACTTTATGTATAGGATTTGTTTATAACTGGGATTAGCTCATTCATAACTATAATGAGCTATCATAAAATGCAGAATTTAGTAAATATTGAATGTTTTCTTATATGTATTTTTTTAAAAAAATGTTTTTTTTATTTTTAGTGGCCTTCTGATAAGTATGGTGATATCTTTGATTTGGATTATTCTTATGCGATGGATAGCTGCACCGATGATATGGCTGAGCATCATAGAGTTCTTGCATTTTCTGCATTTGTATGTGTAAAATTCGAAATTAAGGTGTGCTTGAGGATAAAAACTATTCAAGTTAATTTGATGAACGAATTACTGCACAGACGTATCATTCACTTAAATTGAATTGGAAAATTATTGATTTAATTTTAGATTTGCTAGTTATTTCACTTTTATATTTCAAGGTGTAATATTTGTAGTCATTTATCCTTATCTAGTGTTTTTTTTTTTCTAGATATTGTTGTTAAAAAAGGGCTTGTTAAGGCAATTTTTAAAGTTAGTCATTATTAATTGTTGTAATAGAGAAAGTTGCACATAACATTTTATTAAATTTAATTATTTAAACTAGTCTTTATTTTTATGAATAATGATGTAAATGCTTTGTGAGACCCTTTTCTCTCTCTCTCTCTCTCTCTAATTTTTCAACTGTATTTTAGCTGACATTTCAGAAAAGCCTTTTCACAGCTACCTCATTTTATTCTGTGGATGTGATAAAATTCTCTGAACTTGAAGGGTTTAATAATGATACAAGATTAAGTGGCTTTGAATGCTGCATAGTTTTCATGCACAGATAATCTCTTGTGTTAAACTGATTGTTGGTGTCTTTTTTTGTTTGACTATTCCAGAGAGAAATAAATGTATTAGTATTAAAAATGGTTTATAATTATTAAAATTTTTTAAATTGATGAAGTGATCTGAAAAATTTGTGAAACAGAGAGTATATGTTTTTGAAATAGTTAGGTACATTTGAGAACTCCTAAGAGAAATTTTAAATATTGAGTAGGATTGTATTCAGAAAAGAAGGCTAGATGCTTTATTTTTTAAATCACAGATATGTGATACAGATATGTTGGATCGCAGATATGTGATACCTATTGCAGATTTTCTCAAACTATAGAAAAACATTTATGAGAACAGTTTCAGCATTGAGTATAAAAAGATTCTAAAAAAAAAAAAAAAAAAAAAAAAAAAAAAAACCTAGTGTTTTTTATGGCCCTATATATGCAAAAAGTCCATCAGCAAATGTTTATGCTTTGGTAAGTTGAATAAAAAAATATCACCTACAAACTTCGTAAAGATTTTGAAGAACAAAATCATGATTAATAAGCGCGATTGGCTGTTACCTAACATATTTGCAATTTGCATACTTTCATCTACCTTCGCAGTGAATTGCATCCTCTTCAATTCTGATTGGCTTCCAGAAATTAGTATTTTCCTCTACATGCTTAACTTTTGGAAGTGAGTGTATTATAGTTACAAAAGGTATCATTAAAATGCTATAGTTAATTCAAATTTACTGTGACAGCAGTGCTACCTCATTTCTACTGTATACAAAAACATGTTCAGAATTACATAATGTAACATATACACATTTAATTGCTAGGTTATACTACACAGCTGCATATTTATTGCAACCATATCAAGAGTATTACTTACTCGATCAATAACATTGCGAAGAGTGATATCTTCAAAGTTTGAGCTATGAATTATTTCCTGTATGCTTGCATAAAGTTCTTCATCCTAAAAACCAGAATTGTATCTTAAAAGTCACAGCATTTAAACACATACTGCAATTAAAAATCCACAATACTAATTCAATGAAATAAAACATCTAAAAGTTGGATTACACTGATTCCCAAACAAAAAATTTTGAATTTTTTCAATAGTTAACATATATAATTACTAATACCTACTATTAAAAAATTAAGAAACTGCATGTATATTCGCATATTCTTGCACTGCAGGAAAACAGCAACATACAGAACCACCAAATTTTGAATACACATGCATGTACACTGCGGGAAAAAAAGGGGGGGGACAGTTCTGTATCTCTTGTTTCACTGGGCCGATTGCTGAAATTCAATTTGTGTTCTTCATGTCTCGAAAGCGTGTATTAGATTTATAGATAGCACTGTTCCAATATAAGTAATTTGACACAAAAATCAGAGTTTTTCTGAAATGACATGCCAATTTTTTCCATATTTCGATTCTACGACTCAAATTATGCCAACCTGCCAAGTTTTGTACAAATGCATGACAGTTTGTAAACATAGCTCTCAATATAATGAATTTATATGATTATTAATCTTTTTTTTTATTAAACTTACTTGATTCTTCTTCCAGAATTGAAATTTGGCTTATCCAAATATATTCACAATTTTTACGATTTGATTAAAATTTGTATTTTTGTTTTAGCGAAAAAAATCTTTATTATAACCCATGTAATTTTAGCCATCTAAAGTAGATGCATTTCTAGCGCACCTGCAAAATTAGAGTTATTTTATTCAAATTTCCTAAGATATGTGAATGTATGGCGATTGAATGTGGTAAATTTTCTATAGAGATAATAAGCCAATGGGTTTGCCACTTTGCTAAATATTGAAAGTAGAACAATGACTTTCTTTCGCTACTCGAAAAAAAGGAAAGGAAAATAGGTTGCTTTAAATTATGAATTTTGCCAAGAAACTTATTCTTTGCGCAAACTGGGGTGAGGGGAAGTGCCAATGTAAATTTTTGAATTTCTCAGTAAATTTTGCATAACAAAATATTTAGGTGTAATTTGAGTCGTAGAATTGAAATATGGAAAAAAATTGGCATGTCATTTCAGAAAAAGTCTAATTTTGTGTCAAAATACCTATGTTAAAACAATGCTGTATATAAATCTAATATATATCTTAAGCTATGCTTTTGAGATGTGAAAAATGCATTTTTAATTTTGTTACTCAGTAGAATGGGAGATATAGAACTGTCCCCCCTTTTTTTTGCGCAGTATACATGTCAAAGCCAAAATTTTGAACTTTTTTTCTTTTCTTTGTATTTCATATTTTGTGATAATTTAATGAACATTTGATTAAGAGCTCAGTGATTTAAAAGCTTTGGGCTGCCACTCTGCCAGAGTCGGATTAAGATTTGATAAGGTCTTAAGCTATTTCAGATATAGGGCCCTAAGTTATAACTTGTGTAGCTTATAAGTAAATTCTGCATTGCACTTTGCAAAGCATAAGATTTCACATTTAATTAGAAAACTCAGTGATATGAAAGAAGTGTGTCGAAACTTAATAACACACTACATATTTGTCTTTTGAATTTAATGATGTTGTAGAAAAACAATGGCACATAACAGCCACGAAATTTTGAATACACATAATTTTCGACCCGAACAGTGCACCTTTGAACTTACAAGTTTTTATTATTTATTTATTTATTTATTTATTTCAGATTTTGTGCTAATTTTAAGAAATTTTGACTTTTTAATCAAATATTCAATATAACAGTTTTGTATTGCCACTTGGCACAGCAGACGTTTCAAATTCAATTAAAAAACTCAGTGATATACAAGATATGTATTACTACTTGGTAAAATGTAAGATATGTTTCCTTCAAATTTAACAAAAGCACTCACTGATTTAAAAAATATATATTGTAATTGCTCAATATAATTATATTTTCTTCCATAGTGTAACATATTTAATTGGTCTCTCAAAATTTATTCTGTTACCAGTTAACGTAATAAAAGGTTTAAAAGCAATAAACACAGATGTATTTAAATTATTTTAATAACTAGCGGAACACGGGAAATTAAATTAACCAATTTCATACAAGTCATATTTTTTCCTTTTCTATAATAAAAGGCAGCTAGCCATGCAAGCGGCTAGTTCCTTTACAAATAAATATTAAACGAATTTTTAATAATTGTGCACATTTGTTTCCTATTATTCCACTACTGAAACAATTTCTTTTTTTTTTTTTTAACCTCTCTTTCTCATTTTCTAATAGCATTTACAAGCAAGGTGTGATAAATTGCAAATATAGGTATGAAGATCCCAATGCTAAAAGTTTGAAAACCTCTGGGTTATGTGATATAGTTTTAGTAAAAGTTATCTATCAAATAAATAAATACAGAATGAATTAGATTGCTATTATAAGTACTACATCATGTAATAAGTAAGTAAATAAATAATTAAAGACAGACAGACACACATCTAAAGCACACACACCTTAAGAATAATTAAATTATGATTTATTGAACACAAAACTATTATATTTTAAAATAATTACATACAAAGAAAATAATATCAATACAAGGAATAAAATAGGGACATTTTTTAAGGAAGCAAATAATTT